GCCACCTCGTCAATCAACTCACGCCGCGGCCTCCGCGGAGCACCGTTGGCAGCGGGCGGTTGCACCTGGTCTTGCATCGGGCCAGACTCAACGTTGAGCTCCTGCAGACGGTCAGTCGCCTCATTGCGCAGCTTGGTCAATTCAGCGACCATGGCCAAGTCCCCCCCGATGAGCTTCATGAACTTGGTATCGCCCTTGTTCGTCTCGACGAACTTGTGGCCCTGGACCTCTACGACCTTGGCTGCCCACGGCGACGTGCAGGCTGCGTTCTTGGAGATGCAAGCGAAGCCCTCTTCGATGACAGGCATGTCACCGACCGCGAACAAATCAGGAAGAGGGCTGGGCGATGCTGCAAAACTATGGCGCCAAAACGGCTCTGGAAATGGCTACGGACGGACGCTGTTTCGAGCGTCGGTCGCGAGAAGGGCACCGCTGCGATCCGACAGCTCGAACCAGGAATCGGCTCCCAGAATGACGCCGATGTGGCCCCACGGCTTCATGAGAGCACAGCTTGCCAACATAGCATCAGCATGGCACGCTCGTTTGAAGAGAGCACTTGCTGACGGCAACGACACGCAAGATATGCGCAAAGGGCGTTCGCCAACGGTGACACGTATAATGATGGTGGTGGCGATGGTGGTGGTGATGGCCATGGTGATGACGATGGCGATGCAGAGTGTGCTCGCTCTGACCCCTCGCTCCCCTTCTAAAGCGTGCCGTCGGTCGCAACTGGCCAAACTCGGCGGCAATCATACGGGGCGGTGGACGGACGGGGCCTGTAGATTTCCTAGTGGGGCGTTGACGTGCTCGGCTTAGACGGCGGCGTGATGGGGCGGCCTCGCGAGGCCGATGGTTTGGGCGATGCTGCCTTGCTCGTGCTCTTCTTCTTGCCCTTAGTCTGCGTCTTGCCCTCCTTCCCCCCCTTGCCTGACTCATAGGCGCTGTCCTCCTTGCGATCGTCGCGATTGTCCCCCGTTTTGCCCGTGCGTTTCTTGTAGCTCTTCTGGTAGGGGCCCTGTGGCTTGCCAGCGTTGTTTGCATCCATTGTGTTTTTCAGTTCAGCCGTGAATTGTTTCTTTTCGGCCCTCGCCCTCGCCCTCAGGATCTCGTCGTCTCGGAACAAGGCGCAAAACATGACTCTCTGGTGCGTCGCTCTCTTTGCGATGGCTGTCCACTTATCGGCCTCCTTCAAAGCGCGGTCCCGTTCGGAGATGGCAATCGCCAATTCGTTTTCGGCTTCGGTCAACCACTGGCTGAGCTCGGCGGCAGCTGCCTGCAGGAGAAGGGGTAGGAAGAGCAGGCGACGGAGGATGGAGGGGCGGCCGCGGCCGTCCACCTCCCCCCACCCCACCCACGCCCTCCTCCCCCTCATTTTCCCCCCCCCCCCCCCCCCCCCCCCCTTCCCCCGTCCACCCTCCTCCTCCTCGCCCCCCCTCTGCTCCGCACGCCCCCCCCCTCCCTCACCCTTCTCCCTCATCGCCCCTTTCTAATTCCCCCCCCCCCCCCCCACCCCCCTCCTTCCAGTCGAGGCGCCCGCCCACCCTCGCCACTCCCCCTTCTCCCCCTTAGCCTTTTCGTGGGGCGTCGTTTCGTGGGGGCGCTCGCAGAGCGTGTCGCGGTGCGTTTCATGGCGTGCTTCGTGGAGGTGCGCCGCGCGGCGGGGTGCGTTCGTGGGACGCGGTCGCGCTGCGTTTCGTGGGGCGGTTCGCAGCGCGTGTCTTGGGGCGGTCCCATGGGCGGTTTCGATTGGCAGCTTCCTCCTAATGCCCCCCCCCCCCCCCCCCCCCCCCTTCCTCCGCCACCCCTCCCAGCCCCTCCCTTGCCAAACCACGCTCAGTGAATGCCAGTCTCGAGCGTGACCGTTTCTGGGCCGCCGCAGCCGCTGCTGTTGCTGCCGTCGCGGTCGCCGTTCATCGTCGTCGCAGCGAGTGCCCTTTGGGCCCGCGGGTCCCATCATACTTTCACCTTCCAGAGTAATGAAGCGTTGGCCTGGAAGATGAATGTATGATAGCGTCGTCGTCGGCGGCGGCGTCGTCGTCGTTCTCCGCCTTAGGGTTGGCCCAGGCCGATCGTCGTCGTCGTCATCATCGCCGTCGTCGTCGTTGAGGCGCCCCTAACTTCTCCCTCCCTCAATCCAGCCTCCTCATTCCTCCTTCCTCCCCCCATCCTCCTCCTCCTCCTCCTCCTCCTCCTCCTCCTCCCTCCTCCGCCTGCCTCCTCCCCCCCCTTCCCCCCCTCCTCCCCTCCTCCTCCCCCCCCCCCCCCCCCCCCGCGCGCAGCACAACGCGCCACACCGCCACCACCGACCACCCCGCACACACACGCTCACAAGCCCCCACCCCCTCCTCCCCCACATCCTCCCTCCGCATCATCCCCTTGACCACCCTCGTCCTTCATCCCGTCCTCGCATGTCCCGCCTCCCCGATCATCTCCTCCTGCTGCTCAGCAACCCTTTTCTCCTCCTCCTCCTCCTCCCCCTCCTCCTCCTCCTCCTCCTCCTCCTCCTCCTCCTCCTCCCCCTCCTCCGCGCCCTCCACCTCATCCACCTCCCCTCTCCTGATGGCAAGACGTCCCGTCTGGGGCGCGTTCCCTACTCCTCCTCCCCGTTCATCCCCATCCTCCCCCTCTCCTCCTCCGCCTCCAGCTCCACCTCCACCCCCACCTCCTCCCTCCTCCTCCTCCTCCTCCTACGCGCGCCCCCCCCCCCCCCCCCCCTCCCCCCTCCCCCCCCACCCCCACCCACGCGCCTGAGAAGCGCCTTCGCGCTGCCAGACCCCCATCGGGGCGAGAGGCGCCGACGGGCAGCTCGGGGGTGGGTGGCTCGCAGATGTCTTGCGACGCAATCCGCCGTGGCTGCAGCAAGCAGTCGAGGGATGACTGCAGAGGCGAGCGTGATGGGTGGCTGCATGGAAGAACAAGGGAGGACGAAGATGGCGACGATCATGGTGACGGCTGGGATGATGGTGACGATGGTGATGATGGTGACGATGATGATGATGACGATGTCAGTTGCCATGTGCATCTATGCGGGGAAATCCCGCGTGCGACGCCTGATCTCTTACGCGGTCTGCGCGCAGCGTCGCGCGAAAAACGCGTCTTGCGCTGCTGAAGTGAACATGGCGACCATGCGCCAATCTAGCTCCGAAGCTTCTTCTTCGGGCGAGCCGCGATGGCAACCCCTGGGGGCGAAACAGGCGACGAAGACTTCAAGAGCGCCGCGCCGACCTTGAGCGGCGCGGAGTTGCGCAGCACTGGCAAGCTAACGTGCGCGCCCGACGCGCGGGAGCCACCAACGGACACCAGGGTGTCTTTGTAGACCAGGTCAACCTTCAAGACGCCAGCGACCATGTTCACGGCGTCGCCAGGAGCGGCAGTGCCAACGCACCAGTACGGCACCACAAGACCGACGGACTTGTCGGACGGGAGCTCCACCTTCGGCGCGAAGTTCCTCTTGCTGTCCTTGCCCGACGAAGGGTCCACGAACGAAGACTCTGGTATCTCAACGGCGTTGGCTGGGACCTTAGCGTTCTGCCCCATCGACGGGCTCCGGGGAACCAATATCAACTCTCCGACGGCGAAGTCGGCGAGGGATTCCACTTTGCTGGCCGTGGCGGCGCCCGCTTGCCAATGCACCTTCACCTTCGCAGACGACCGATGGCTCGAGTAGGCGCGGCGCAATGCGGTCCGCACGCGGCAGATGCGGTCGCTGGCAAGGATGTCCTCGCTGTGTTCCTCCAAGTGGGGGGGCGACAAAACAAAACATCGCGCTGCTTTGCAAGCGCGTGCACGGGGTCCCTCGGGGGCCTTGCGCTGACCGCTTCCGCGGCGCCGAGGCGGGAGAAGGGGGGGTAGGCCGGGGAGGAGGAGGAGGACGTGGAGGAGGACGACAAGGAGGAGCAGGAACATGAGCAGGAGCAGGAGCAGGAAGAGGATCCGCCTGGCCATTCGTCCGAGCACGCGCCCGATGTAGCGGCGACGAGGGTTCGGTGGGTGGGCCCAGGGGCCTGACGAAACGACGACGGGCGCGGGGGCTCCACGAGGTTCGGTTGCACGTGCACCGCGACGGACGAGAGCTCGACCTCGGCCTCCTTCACCTGCGGGGCGGGGGGGCGGGGGAGGGCGGCGGGAGGAGGCGAGGGGGGGGGCGGGACGAGAGGAAGGTGGGGAGGGTTGGGAGGGGAGGGGGCGAGAGAGGAGGGGGAGGCGGGGAAGCTGGAGGCGGAGGAGGAGGAGGGGAGCAGGAGGAGGAGCGGGAGAGAGGAGAGACGGGTGAGGAGGATGGGGAGGTGGAGCTCCTCCTCTCCTCTCCTGCGCCTGCCTGCTTGGTGCTCCCTCTCCTCCTCCCTCCTCCCTCCTCCTCCTTCACCTCCTCCTCCTACCCTCCCCTCCCTCTCCTCTCCTCTCTCTCCTCTCCTTCTTTCTCTCCCCTGCGGCTCTTTTTGCTCCTTCTCATCCCCCATCCCCCTCCTCCTCTCCAGCTCGTCATCCTTTCCCTCCTCCCTCTCCTCCCCCCCCCCCCCCCCTCCCCACTCCTCCGCGCCTTCCTCCTGCCTCCTCCTCCTCCTCCTCCTCCTGTTCATAATCACCATCCTCTCCCGCCTCCTCTCCCTACTTCTCCTCCTCATCATCATCGCCATCGTCATCCTCTGCCTCCTCATCCTCCTCCCCCGCGTCCTCCTCCTTCTCCACCTCCTCCTCGTCCCTCTCCTCCTCCTCCTCCTCCTCATCCCTCTCCTCCTCCTCGTCCTCCTCCTCCTCCTCGTCCTCCTCCTCCTCCTCGTCCTCCTCCTCCTCCTCCTGCCTCCTCTTCAAATCTCAAGCCGCGGGTCAAACAACGCCTCCCACCTTCTCTCTAATGCTGTGGATCGGACAAGCGATCGATTCGGTCGCCATGTAATCGTCCAGCAGGGCGCTCAACTGCAGCTTGATCGCGCCCTTGCCCTGCACCAGCGCAGCTGCAGGTAGCACATGCCGCCCTTGATCTTCGAGATCTTGTAAACCGTCTCCGCGGCGCCTACGTTGAAGACCATGGCCCCGACCACGAAACCGCCCGCCGCCATCGCCTCCTCTCCAACCCCAGTCTCGGTGAACTCCACGAGGCCGCTGCCGGATCCCTGCGCAGGCTGCGAGGGCGCCTGGGTCTCTGACTTATCCTCCGACGCGGCCCAAGGCCGTTGCAGCTGAAGGGCATCGGGGGCGGCCTCGCCAACGTCCTCGAGGAAGGCGTCCGCGATCTCCAGCAAGGACCCGAACTCACGCCTGCCGCGGCTCTTCTTCTGGATGTGCATGACAAAACGCACCTGCATCTCCCCGAGCAGCCGCGTCTTTGCCGCGGCGGGCAGGCATGCCTTGGCGAGGTGGGCCTTGGCCGACCTGATAAAGTCAACTGCCTCCAAGCTCCAAGCACGCAGACTTGTTCTTCTTGTCGATGGTCGCAGCGTCAGCCGAATGAAGGGGCCGCGCCACGCCCTGCTGCACGTGGCCATCTGGCGCCACCAAAGACGCCATGATGCAAGACATCAGGTATTCAGGCCCCTGCGCGAGCTTGACCTGGGAGAGAGCCTTGAAGAGCATCCCAGGCACGTCGCGTCGGAGGGTCAACGACTTCGAGTAAGCGTCCAAGTCTTTGAGAAACTGTCCGCCCTCGCCTCCCGAGTAGTGCCGAACAAACATGCACATGTCAACCACTTGCCCTTTCAGGAAAGGGCACACCCGCTCGATGTCCGAGGTGATGGCGGCCCAAATTGCTTCAGGATCTGCGGGCGGCTGCTTCAACTTGCGAGTGGCCTTCTGATGGATATGAAGCAGCGTTTGCATTTTAGTTTGCTGGCGTTGGGTCCCGTGGCCTGCGTTCCCCGCGGCCTGGAGGAATCCTGCCAGGCCTGGGCAATGCTGGTCGACCTGGTGTCGTACGACGACCCACTCCAATCCCTGCTCCATGGCCGTCTTGTACTCGGCGCTCAAGGACGCGACCTTCTCGATGGAGATCCTGCCGTTGACCTCTATCTCGTCCTGAGTGGTCGCAGTGCCGTGCTTGAATCAGCGAAGTCCCTGGACACCGTGGCTGCGCGCCACCGTCAAAAAACGGAGGTCGGAAGGGCCCGCCGCTGCAAGAAGACCGTCGCTCGCATCGACGAGCCGCGCCTGGAACTTCACCTGCTCATCGTGCTCTTTCGTACCCGCAGGGGCGGCCTCGAAGCGCCGAGCCCCGACCACTTCGAGCCAGCTGAACCCCTGGCGTAGGGTGTCCATGAGGAGTTCGTGGACATCGAACGCTTCGACTCCCATGGTCAAGCTGGTCTGGGGGTGAACCCCAAGCTGGTCACTGGGGACCCTTAACTTGTAGGCCAAGTTACACGACATCAGCTCGTTGATAATGTTGTCGGAAGTTGTTTTGATCGCCGACGTCGGGCCAGTCTGTAGATCCTCGAACCTCCGATTGTGACATTGATCTTCGGCGCAATCTGCTTGACAATATCATCTATCGCGGCGGCGGGACAAGACATTCCATGAAAGCCGCTGCAACACAGATCGCTCACGAGTGCAAGCGAACGCGAGGTATGTACAAACCTGCCCTGCAACAAAGCCAAAACGGCTACGGAAAATATCGTTTATTTTGTTCTGGCTTGGCGGTTTCCTACTTGGCCGTCGCGTCTGCTCCCCTGCCAGCGCGAATATCATGGCACAGCATGGCATAGCACGCGCGCCTTGCGTCACGATCGCGCAGCACGCATCCTCCTCCTCCACCCCCTACTTCTCCTCCCGCCTCCTCCTCTTCTTCCTCCGCCCCCTCCTCCCTCTCATCAGCCGCCTCACGTGTGTGTGTGTGTGTGTGGTGTGTGTGTGTGCGTGTGTGTGTGTGTGTGCGCGCGCGTGTGCGCGTGTGTGCGCGTCGCGCGTGCGCGTTGTGCGCGTGCGTGTGCGTGCGCGTGTGCGTGTGCGTGGGTGCGTGTGCGTATGTGCGTGTGTGTGTGCCGTGTGGTGCGTGTGCGTGCGTGTGTGCGTGTGCGTGTGCGTGTTGTGCGTGTGCGTGTGCGGTGCGTAGTGCGTGTGCGTGTGCGTGTGCGTGTGCGGTGGGTGTGCGTGTGCGTGGTGTTGCGTGTGTGCGTGCGTCGTGCGTTTGTGCGTGCGCGGGTGCGTGTGGTGGCGTGGGCGTGTGTGCGCGGTGCGTGTGTGCGTGTGCGTGTGCGTGTGCGTGCGTGTGCGTGTTGCGTGTGCGTGTGCGTATAGTGCGGTGGTGCTGTGTGCGTGCGTGTGCGTCGTGCGGGCGTCGTGTGCTGTGCGTGTTGCGCGTGCGCGTGCGCAGTGCGCGTGCGCGTGCGCGTGCGTGCGTGCGCGTGCGCGTGCGCGTGCGCGTGCCGCGTGTGCGTGTGTGTGTGTGTGTGTGTGTGCGTGTGGTGGGTGGGTGTGTTGTGTGTGTGCGCGTGCGTGCGGCGTGCGTTGCGTGCGTGCGTGCGTGTGTGTGTGTGGTCGTTGCGTGTGTGCGTGTGCGTGTGTGCGTGTGTGTGTGTGTGTGCGGGGGGGGGGGGGGGGAGTACTTGATCCTGGCGCTACTTGTAAACAGGTTAGCGAACCCCGCCTAAGTAGGTTAGCGAACCCCGCCTAAGTAGGTTAGCGAACCCACTTATTTCCAGGACCGAAAATGGTTCGAAACACTTGCCAAATGCTTAGCTACACGAGGTATCCTGGATGCGGTTGATAGCGCATGCAAGATAATATGCGCCCTATGTTGTTTCAAATGTTGCGGTCAACTGATCCAAGAAGAGGAAGTGGTTAGGGCGAGTCGCTTTTGGTTAGCCAACATGCATCAACCTATACGTTGTTATACCACACACGTAACCAACCTGCACCGAACATCGAACAACCTACATCGCCACCATCCACTTAACAAGGCCCCTGACCATCCTAGCATCCGCACCCACGGCTGCCCTGTTCTTGGGACCCCCGGCCCCGCGACTTCTCGCCCAAAAAACGACCCACGCACCCCTCCTCGCCCCGGCATCCGCACCCACGGCAGCTCTGTTCTTGGCCAGGCCCTCGGCCCCGCGATTTCTCGCCCAAAAACGACCAGTGCCCCCCTCCTCGCCCCGGCACCCGCATCCACGGCATGCAGCTCTGTTCTTGGAACCCCCGACCCGGCGATTCCTCGCCCAAAAACGACCAACACTCCCTCCTCGCCCCGGCATCCGCACCCACGGCAGCTCTGTCCTTGGGGCCCTGGACTCCACGATTTCTCTGCCAAAAACGACCAACGCCCCTCTCCTCCCACCCGCATCCGCACCCAAACGGCCAACGACGCTCTGTTCTTGGGAAACCCGACCTCACGATTTCTCGCCCAAACACAACCAACTCCCCCCCCCCCCGCCTCGGCATCCACACCCACGGCAGCTCTGTTCTTGGGACCCCGACCCCACGATTTCCTCGCCCAAAAACGACCAACGCCCCCCTCCTCGCCCCAGCATCCGCACCCACGGCAGCTCTGTTCTTGGGACCCCCGACCCCACGATTTCTCGCCCAAAGACGACCAACAGCCCCCCTCCTCGCCCTGGCATCCGCACCCACGGCAGCTCTGTTTTGTGTTCTTGTGACCCCCGATCCCACGATTTCTCGCTCAAAAACAACCGACACCCCCCTCCTCGCCCCGGCATCCGCACCCACGGCAGCTCTTTTCTTGGAACCCCCGACCCCACGATTCCTCGCCCAAAAACGACCAACGCCCCCCTCCTCGCCCCGACATCCGCACCGACGGCAGCTCAATTCGTGGGACCCCGACCCGACGATTTTTCGCACAAAAACGACCAACACCCCCCTCCTCGCCCTTGCATCCGCACCCACGGAAGCTCTGCTCCTGGGACCCCCGACCCGGCGATTTCTCGCCCACAAACAACCGACACCACCCTCCTCGCCCCGGCATCCGCACCCACGGCAGCTCTTTTCTTGGAACCCCCGACCCCACGATTCCTCGCCCAAAAACGACCAACGCCCCCCTCCTCGCCCCGGCATCCGCCCCCACGGCAGCACTCTTGGGACCCCCGACCCCTGCGATTTCTCGCCCAAAAACGACCAACACCCCCCTCCTCGCCCCGGCATCCGCACCCACGGCAGCTCTGTTCTTGGGACCCCCGACCCCGAGATTTCTCACCCACAAACAACCGACACCCCCTCCTCGCCCCGGCATCCGCACCCACGGCAGCTCTGTTCTTGGAACCCCCGACCCCACGATTCCTCGCCCCAAAACGACCAGCACCACCCTCCTCGCCCCAGCATCCGCACCCACGGCAGCTCTGTTCTTGGGACCCCCGACCCCGCGATTTCTCGCCCACAAACAACCGACACCACCCTCCTCGCCCCGGCATCCGCACCCACGGCAGCTCTTTTCGATTCCTCGGAACGCCCCGCATCCGCACCCACGGCATTCCTCGCCCAAAAACGACCAACGCCCCCCTCCTCGCCCCGGCATCCGCACCCACGGCAGCTCTGTTTTTGGGGCCCCCGACCCCGCGATTTCTCGCCCAAAGACGACCTGCAGCTCCCCTTCTCGCCCCGCCATCCGCACCCGCGGCAGCTCTGTTCTTGGGACCTCCGATCCCACGATTTCTCGCCCAAAAAACAAACGACACCCCCCTCCTCGCCCGGGCATCCGCACCCACGGCAGCTCTGTTCTTGGGGCCCGACCCCAGTTTCTCGTCCAAAAACAACGCTCCCCTCCTCGCCCCGGCATCCGCACTCACGGCAGCTCTGTGCTTGGGACCCACGGCCCCACGATTTTCTCTTCCAAAAACGACCAACACCCCCCTCCTCGCCCCGGCACCCGCGCCCACGGCAGCTCTGTTCTTGGGGCCCCCCACGTGCCGCGATCTCGCCCAACAACGACACCAACACCCCCTCCTCGCCCCGGCATCCCGCCCCCACAGCAGCTCTGTTCTTGGGACCCCCGACCCCGCGATTTCTTGCGCGAAAACAGCCGGCACCCCTCCTCCTGGCCCCGGCATCCGCACCCACGGCAGCTCTTTTCTTGCGACCCCCGACCCCGCGATTTCTCGCCCAAAGACAACCAGAAGCCCCCCTCCTCGCCCAGGCATCCGCACCCACGGCAGCCCTGTTCTTGGGACCCCCGACCCCGCGCGATTTCTGGCCCAAAAACGACCAACGCCCCCGTCCTCGCCCCCGTATCCGCACCCACGGCAGCTCTGTTCTTGGGGCCCCCGACCCCGCGATTTCTCGCCCAAAAACAACCGCCCTCCTCGCCCCGACATCCGCGCCCGCGGCGGCTCTGTTCTTAGAACCCCGACCCCGCGATTTCTCGCCCAACAACGACCAACGCCCCCCTCCTCGCCCGGGCATCCGCACCCACGGCAGCTCTGTTCTTGGGACCCCCGACCCGATGATCTCTCGCCCAAAAACGACCAAGACCCCCCTCCTCGCCCCGGCATCCGCACCCACGGCAGCTCTGTTCTTGGGACCCCCGACCCGGTTCCTCGCCCAAAAACAACCAACACCCCCATCCTCGCCCCGGCATCCGCACCCACGGCAGCTCTGTTCTGGGGACCCCCGATCCCACGATTTCTCGCCCAAGGGCCTCCGTGCATACACCACTGCAGCGGTTCACCCATGCCGGCGTCTTCGCTAGCCTCGCCGTCGATCTCGCGCATCACTCACGGCGCCACTATTTGCACCATCTCGAACTGCTTTGCGTTCGCGACGCGCCGCCCCGTCTGTTCGTCCACTTGGGACTCGAGCTTTTCCAGCCATGCTGCAACGTCAGCCGATGTCGCGGCCGGGCCAGACATGGCCACTGCTCCGTCCGCCTGTGCCATCCTGTCCGCCATGGACTGCTCCTTGTTCCGAGACTTACGCGCTTCCGCCAGCGCCCGCTCTACGTCGCAGGGCTCCGGTGCTGGCCACTTGCCTCGCACTTCGCTCAGCGGCGCTTCGTTGGCGCGGAGCCCCCGCGCTGCCTGCGCGGCGCGACGGCCGCGCTTCCTTTCGACTTCTCTCATGGTGGGAAGGGCCGCTCGCTACTTGCACTCCGACGGCGTCTGCATCCTCGCTGCTGCTGTCTCCGTCGCCGCCCCTCCGCTTCTCCCCGCCCACTCGTGACTTGAGCGCGTCGTTCAGTTGTTCGAAGCCCACGTCTAGCTCCTCATCGCTCGCGTCTTCGCTACTCCGTTCCTCCGCCTCGTCTGCGTCCCGAGGCCGGGCGCGGTGCGCGCTCAGGAAGTTGCCCACGCAGTGCGCGGCTTCCTTCGTCTGCGCGCCGCCGTCCAGCCGCGCTGCCACGGCGGCGCGCCATGTCGCCG